TTTTAAGCCGAAGGACACGGCACCAGCATGCAGAAATGTGTGCATGCAGGCGGCCACAGTTGCAGCAGCAAAGGGAACTACTGCTTCAAGCAGAGTAGAACTGCGGTTTGTGTGGAGGCGAGATGCAAGCCACGCAGGATGATGCGCACTGCTGCATAGCGTTAACAATGCAAGTGCATTGCAGCAGAGAATTTGGTCAAGGCTGCTGGTGCCCAGAGCATTGGTGCGTGCGCTGGCACTGCTGCGCTGCTGCGCTGCACTCTCAAAAGCACGCCCCACTGGTTGTTGCAGGTGCCGCAGTGCATAATGTCATGCAAATGTGCCGCAGTAGCTTGTCACAGCACCCCTCATCGTCTCCGTCTGTGCACATGGACCACCCTGTCTTGATCTAGTTCCCAATTCAGCTACTGCATGCAATTGGCCTTGCCTAACGCTGGGTTGTGCGCTGGGCGTCACTGCATACGTAGCAGGGTGCTGAACGCATACTCAACGCGCCCTACATGCTGTGCCGGTATAGATTGGACGGGGGGGGGGGGGGTGGAATGCAGCAAGCATCACACAGCAGAGTGCAACTGCTGCTGACCGGCTAAAACAGGGAAAACATTGGATGCAGCTTGTCCCACCATATTTGTACAATGAAGCTTTGGCAAGAAAGCTTATCTGCATAAAGTAGGTTTTTGGTTTGCTTCGACACTTTCAGTGCATACTCAGGCGTAGTGGTCGCATGAATCACAAGATCTGCTTGTGTGTGCCGCTGCTGCTGCTGCTGCTGCTGCTGCTGCCAGCAGATGGGATCTGCTGCTGCTGCTCTTGCTTGTATCAAGTTGTGCAGTCTTGACTGCAGAAGATGCCATTTCTGGGAAATCAACTCATGACACTCACCCTTATTGTTGGCCATGGTGATGGGTGTTGGGGAGTGCAAGTCCAGAGATCAAGGTGGGGATATCAGCAGACAGGTACGTTGAGGAAACAGCAGCAGTCACAGCTAGGGTTCGACTGGGGCGTGCGAGTGACACAATAGTCAGCAGCGCAATTTTTGGTGGTGAAGTTGCAGACGGCGATAATTAAACTGTCGGACGGCGATCTTGAGCAGAACGTCATCGATGATATCAACCATGGTCAAGGCCCACTCAGCAGAAAGGTTGCATGCGGTTGTTATAGTTGAGGTACATACTAATATAAACGCCGCTGCATGTAATTTTTTATTACCATACCAAAAAATTTAAAAGCCGCTGCATTGGCTCCACGATCCCACGAGATGAAGCAACCTGCATGCGTATACGACCTCGGCCACCGCGGCAATGAAACGAGGCAGCACAGTACGAAAGGAGGCGAAACAGCGCCATCATCGAATGTGTTGAATGGAAAGTTAAATTTACCCTTCTGGCAGCTGCTCATCTGCAGCTGCAGGCTCAAAGCGGCAATGATTGCAGCAACTTGCTGCTATCACATAATGAGAGGACACGGCACTAGCATGCAGTACACTGGCAGCCCACCCAACCCCCCGCATGAAACCCAATGACATATGTGATAGGCATCATTGGCATGCATGTCAACTTGGCAAGACGGTTGCAAGGCTTGCAGCGTCATACTCCATGGCACGCTGTGCTGTTGATCAGCACGTACATGCACAAATCTTCAGGTCCAGGTCATCATCATCATCATATTACCCATTCAAGCCATAGCATCAGCGCCATCGGCCCGCGCCCACATCAGGTCCAGGTCAGTGACTGACAACGGACAAGATCTAGAGTCAGTGCAAGAGCCGATTCTCATCGTGGCCTGGCAGCAGTGTCGACGTCGACTGAGGCTCAGTCCCTCCAGTACTAGTGAGGTCCATCCTTAAATTGCTGATCAAGCCCTTGACTCTCCAACCTCATGACGGCTGCTGCCACCTTTCCCACTGCCACCATACTGCTGCTGCTGCTGCTGCTGCTGCTGCTGCCGCCTTTTCCTGCAAGCTAGCCATCCCTTGTCAGGATTGAATCACAATAATGTGCGGCCTGGTGCTGCACACTGCATCCGTATAGCACCCAGCCTGCTGCTCTGCACCCTGTGCCTGCTGCTGCACAGACATACGGGCAGTGGCCTGTTCTGCCAGGCAATGCTGCTGCTGATGCTGCTGCTGCTGCAATCAGTGCTGCTGTGTGATTCTACAGAGACGTCGCTTGCATTGACTGAAGTTGAGGGCCGTGTGTGGTTTACATGCATGTGGCACAGCGCGCATTGTCACAATGCGGGAACGGTCACAGCAGACAGTTCCTGCAAGCACTGAAACAGCAGCAGCAGCAGCAGCAGCAGGGTGCAGCAGGTCACCTGAGCTGCTGCATTTATCATGCTGCTGCGATTTCCCCTGCGCATGCTGCTCACAGGCGGGCAAAAGTGGATGCACAGCTGCAAGTGAACCGGTCATTTGAAACAATGCATTGCTGCCAGATAGCAGACAACATTGCTGAATAATGTAATTATTTAATGCACACATCTCTGGCTGCTGCACACCTAACACCTACACCGCTTGTCGTGCGGGATAGTGCAACACAATGCTGAGTGCTGCGGCGCTGACGGCGAGTCACTCAGCAATCCGGAGGCCTGTTTCAATCCAGCTCATATGAGGGGGGGGGGCGTCCTGAAGCAGGAACTACGGTCTTTCAGCTTCTGGTTGACACAACTTCTAATACTAGATACCACTTACCAGCTGCATCCATGGTGCCACGGTGCTGGGACGTGCCAGCTATTGTATGGCCGCGCTCTTTGCTGCAAGGCTGGCTGCCTGCGGCAATGCATAGTGCCCGCTAGCCGGACAAGCTGCTACTGAGTACAAGGTATTGGCTGCTGCCTGCTGGTTGCTCCGGCAGAGGCTGCTTCTGCATGCCATGTTGTGACACCACAGTGAAGGATCACGTGAAGGCGGCGCTGCAAGTTAAACACTGACACCAGCAGTTCTGCAGAGCATGCAGAAAGTTTGTGGGCGGGAAGTTGGGGCATGCGCAGTGCTTACAGGCAGTGCACTGTGCTGGTTCAGCCGCAGTGGCTGGATGAGCTGCATGCACTGCATGCGCACCAGCACTGCTGTAATGCATGCTGGCAGGGATGGCACAGCAGAGATGGTAAAGCAGTGATGGCAAGCACACAACATGCCCCCCTGCAGACCGACCGTATGCAAGCACAAGCGTGTTAATGTACAGCGCTCAGCAGCGCTGCGGCAGCGCTTGCAGGAAGGCAAGCTCAATCTGCAGGCGCCTGCTGCACAGCAGCAGTGCATCATGCACAGTTCTGGTGTGCATGAACTGCATACAGCTTGCGCTGGGGTTGAGCGAGGCGGTCCAAGCACATGCCGTTGACCTCCAGCTGACGAGTGTCGTGCTAGGGTTGTATCCAATCGTGCACTGATTCATGAGTCAAACTGAGACGGCTGCCGGCACTGTCGACAGCCCAGGCAACAGCTGAAGTTAATTTCAATGAAAAATATTCACAGGTGGGTGTGAGAACTTGTATTCCAGGTGTTGCTGCACAGCAGGGACTCCCACACTATCACAGCATCAGGGCTTGCTGCTGCTGCCACTGCTGCCACTGCTGCTTGTGTATCCCACCTGCTGCTGCTTGCTGCTCTTCCATGCTATGGTGCAATGGTACAAATGCTGCAGAATTCAGGTCCAGCAGCCACTGGGGTCAACTGCTGAAGAGCTCTTGGGAACTGAGCTCATGCACTTCTATGGGTGCAGCTGGCTGTACAGCGGCAGCAGCAGAAGCGCATGACAAGACCGCAGGGCGGCAGCAGAGGAGGCAGCAGGGACAGTGGTGGAGCGACAGAGTCAACAGAGCAGTGCTATGAAGAGCAGAGGCATGCTGCGTACAATCCACGTTTGTTGTGCTTCATATCATCATCATATTACTCATACAATCCGCGTTTGTTGTGCTTTTATTCTTCATCAATGTACAGAGCTGCCAACACCATGGATGGTTCGCTCTTCCCACACTCAGCAGCCAGAACAGACACTATGCATGGTGCACTGCTCTCCCTGCTCCCACCTGGATTTGCGAGTGGTCCGCTGTTAGCAGCATGTTGTGAGCTGCGCGGCAAACAGCTGCTGGGACGTGGCTGGCTCGCAGGCAAGCGTCAACTGCCAACAGTGCGCACTGCTGCTGCGTCCCTGCAACCCTGCTCTTATTGCCGCTGCCGCCACTGTTGCTGGTGGTGTTGCCTATGCTGCTGGGCATCATTAGGGAGCACTGCGGTATTGTGGAACTAACATTCTGCCAGGTGCAAGGTGCAATGTGAGCCACTGGCTGGCTTCATTGTGGCCATCAGGTGCTGCCAACGTGCACTGCGGCTGCTGCCATGTGCTTACGGCTGTGCCTGATGTTATGCATGTGCAACACCTTGGCTGCCGAGAGTCTTGGAGAGAAAGCCCGCAGGAGCTGCTGCATGTGCCGCCAGCAGCTCCCCTCACCTGTCTGGCGTCTGCTGCAACAAGCACACGCAGTGCAAAGGGGCAGAACCAGCTGCAGAGATGGTTGGCGCAGAGCTGAGAATGGGCAGAGCTGCTGCTGCTGCTCAGCTTGTGTACTGCTGTTGCTGGTTCAGCTCTTTCACTTCCTGCCTCTCCGCTGCTGAATAGTCTTGTTGATGCTGGTAGTTAGATGTTACACAGGGTGTGGTGGGTGCGTGGTCTGCAGCAGAGCTTTGCATGTGGGACGGTGGTCGGCTGCCGGGGCACTCCTTTGCTTGCATGCAGTGCTGTGTCGTATTACATAGGGTGCTTGAATCTCTGCGCTCTTGGGCCGCCTACTGGCAGAGACAGTGCTAGGGTTGTCAGGTAGGCCTTGGGACCTGCATAGCAGCTGATGCGTTTGAGCTGGCCTTGTTCTGAAGTGATCAGAATGACCTAGGTCGGACAGCCTCGCTTGGTGAATTGCCTGCTTGCGAAAGGCGAGCGAGCTTCCAAAAAACACGTGACAGCGTTGGATCCCTTGCATCAATGGCAAGGGGTGCAAAAACACGCCACCGCCGGGAATTGAACCCGGGCCTCCTGCGTGACAGGCAGGGATACTGACCACTATACTACGGCGACACCACACAACTGGTGGGGCGGGACAGGCATCTCATGAGAGGGCGGTACCGGCGTTCATGCCCGCTGCACGCAAAAGGAACACAATAACAAGTGACTTACAGATAGGCCTATCGAACCCCGCAATTTGCACATTTTGAGGAAACTGCAAATTGTTTCTCTGAGGCTTTTTGTGGTTTATTCTCGTGTCCTGCGCGCTGCAGTCCTCAAAGTGTTCTGTTTCCGACGTGCACACCCATGTAACTCTCCTCAATTAACATTTCCAGCAGCAGGTCCAAATGCTCTGTCAAGAACCCGTGCCGTGTATGGCCGTGTATCACGTGACGGACCGCTGCTGTGGTCAGTGCTTCCAAGCGTGCACTAAATATGCCTCAACTGCGTGCAGCAGCTGCTGCTGGCGTCCTGCAAACCAGTGGTCTGCGCCCTCAACCTCCATCAGCTGAGATCCTGCAAGCACGGCGCCAGGATGCCCCCAAGCAGCAGGTAGCAGCAGCAGCAGCAGCAGCAGCAGCAGCAGCAGCAGCAGCAGCAGCAGCAGCAGCAGCAGCAGCAGCAGTAGCCACTGCATAACTGGTTGCTGTGCAAGGGAAAACAAACCTACAACTTACCGCCGACACAACATTGTTCTGCACCTTGTGGCAATGCAGTGCAGCTGCACAGCGCTGGGCAGGACAGATTGGGCATCAAGTTGTTCACCGCAAATGCAGAGCCTCTGCAGAGCCGATGTGGTGGTGTTGCCGACTTTTAAACAAATATAGCGCGTGCAGTACTTGCAGCAACTGCAGAGTGCTGCGGAGGGGCACGGGTAGCAGTGCTGCGCACATGTTATCCAGCTGTGGATCTCATACGGCTGCAGCTGTGCTGACTCAGCAAAAAAGCCATGCCCACCTGCGATGCTGTGCGCCAGTTGAACTGCATCGGCAGCCTCGCAGATAGGGTCAGTGCAGCCATGCAGCACCAGCACGGATGGGCGTGGCTGCCTGCTGCTGATGCGTGTGCATGCGCCTGCCACATCCAGGGAGAAGCGCTCCTGCATCTCCTGGGTTGCAGTCACGCACATTGTGGAACTGTTAATTGAGGCGATGGCGGTTGTACAACCACCACACATGTTCTGTCCTGGAGCGAGAGTGGCAAAATGAATTCGTTTGCAAGCACGTCTTAAGCACGTCGCTGAGACTGCATGCACAGCGGTGCAGTCACTTGCTGCTGTAAGCTTGCTTCTGCGCAGGTACGAACCTGCTCCATCTGGGCCCGCAGCACATAGCAGCATGCAGTCAAGTCCCTTGAGTTGTGACAGGCCTGCCTGGCACCTAGGAGCATATCAACCCGTGACATGCAAAACACACGCCACCCTGAACCCTCGACACACATCCAGCGCCCCGCAAACACCTCATCCAACACCTACCTCAGCAGTGAGCTGCCAGTGGATGGGATGCCTGTCCCCGTCCCGCTTTGTCACCTGCTGCCTGGGGCCTGACCTCTGCAGTTGCTGCAATACATCCGGACCATACCTGCATGGGAGCAACACCAACATATTCTATTGGCAGCGCGCTGCCCACGAGTGAGCCTTTGTGCACAAACTGCTGTACAAGAAGGAGCTTGCCAAGCACAGCAGACCTGCCAGTGAGTATAGTCAGTGACGTGTGCACAGCTTGCTACAATATGAGCACAGCAAAGTGTTCAAATGTTTAAAGAACACAAATGTACGCTGCAGCCCACAGCACCCGAAGCATGTGGACATGTGGACGCGTTCAGCACATTAACCACAGTGCATTGTCAGGGTCATGGCACTTCGGCATCATCATCATGTCCAGCTGTGACACCATGCCGCCTTGCCGCCAGCACCTGACCTTGCCACTTGCTGAGGCGCTGCTGCATGCAAGCCTCCAGGCAGCGGCTGCCCAGAGCTACAACGCCATGCGCACAATGCTGGACCTCATGAGATTCTCAGCTTTGATAAATACCACTCGAGTTGTGTAACATATTTGCCACTAATTGAGCTGCTCTTGTTTCGCTGCCTGCGTTGCTGGCGTTCCCGTGTGCTGTCACAGCTGTGCACCGCTGTGTCATGTTGAGTGTCAGGTCGTAGCGCCCGGCCACCAGCACCACCATGGGGATGTCACCATGGTGCCCAGCATACAGCGTGGCGTTGATGGCACCACGGCTGTGACCTGCAGCCACACAGGGCAGCACGGTGACGCAGGTGAATGTGCTGCGTAATTGGGCTGCGTGTGTGGTGGCCATCAAGTCACGACAGTTGTGCTTATGTCCTCTTTTTTTTCTGGTTGGCTAGACAAGCCAATGATCCCTGCTAGGACTTCCAGCTGCCTGTGCCTTGCAGAATGTGGAGTGCTGCTATCTGCAACTCTCAGACACCAGCAACACCTGCTTGTTGTGCTGGGCCTGCAGATGAGTTAACAGCTAGCTGCATGGCAGATGCTTCTGTGCGCTTTTCATGACTCCAGCAGTGTTTTGTGAGCTTGTTCCTGCCATGAGTGGCCCTTACCGAGCAGCAGCACCACTTGCTTGTTATGTTGGCTCTCCAGGAAGACTTTTGCAGCAGCCACCTGCTCAACTTCCTGCCGACAGCGGCAGCAGCATCCAAGATGGTCAGCTCAGCAATGCTGACACTACAAGCCACGCTCTGCAGCCAGCTGCTTTTATCGCCGCATGGTGGGTGCTGGCACAGCATCTGCTACAACAGCACCAGGCAGCAGACAATGCTCTGGCTGACTGCTTATCACTGAAGCTGCACCTGCAAGCACGTCAACCCTCTGTCATGTGATGAGATGGTGAGTCGGGGGCATACCATTGGCTACAGACGACTGCCAAACCTACAGCTTTCTCTGCTGTCGCAGTGGAAGCAACACACATAGAACAAACTTCACTGGGGTGAGTTACGCGGCTGCTCACCTTCATAAACCCTCCAAACCTGAAAGCGCCGCCGCTGTCCATGTTGCCGGCATAGTCAAAACGCAAGCTGCTCTGCATTGATGGAGTGTGAAAACGCAAAAGGCAAGCGTTTGAGCAGGCGCCATCATGATGGAGTGTGGGGTGCTGCTTGCGGCAACCCACCCCACTTGCACGTTGCATCATGCAGTGTTCTCTGGCTCTGACTCAGTGCAGCACTGGCAGCCACAGCATCAGCGCCGACAGCTGCTTGCTGCTGCCAGCTGTGTCGTGCAGCGCAGTGCCTGAGCATGCAACCTGCAGGCAAGGGAGTTTTGCTTGTAGGACAAGTGCGCCAGGCTGTGCAGCGCTTCCATGCACACGCTGCGCTCTTGCACTGATGGCGTCTGAAGTGCAAGAGGGAGCATTCGCAGATCTCTTGCTTGCATGATAGCAAAACAAGGCTGTGTACTGCATTAGTGACACCTGCTGTGATCATGCATGTATATCATGCTGAAACCAAGCAAGGCAGGGTTACCTGATCTCTGGCTTGCAGAATAAGGTTGTACAGCTGGACAGTGCTTCGTTGCCTGAGCTACTGCTCACGACAGTGCCAGAGCCAGCACTCTGTGAATTCATTCCAAGGGTCTATTCTGTTTCCTGTTCAAGGAGGTTGCTCACCATGCCTAACCGTGTAGCTAAGTGAGCAGCTAGTGCAGGAAGGTGGAAACCATTCTTGTGCGAGGCGAAGCCATGGCACAGGATGGCGCAGTGTTTGGGGGAGAAAGGAGCTGGCGCCGCTGCTCCTGCTGGCGCTGCTGGATCTGTGAGGATGCCTGCTAGGGTTTCACCACATGGGCTGCTGAAAGTGACAGTGGTCTCCTGCAGTGGCATTGCATGAGATGCTGAATGCCTGATGTAGTTGCCGCGGGTATGGCTGAACAAGGGGTTATCAGCTACGCCTGCAACACAACTTGAGAAGCGCGTGATTGGACCCTGCGGTGCAGTGCTTACAACAAGTTGCAGGGCGCCGTGCCTCCGGGGTTTAGCTGGTGAGCTCGCAACTGACAACTGCATCTGACAGGAATAACCACATCACACTTGGTAGCCTCAGTAGCACTGTTCAGCGCTGCTGGCCATAATTCTTCGGTTCATATCTGTATAATTTAAGCTTAGTAATTTAACCAACAGCACGATCAATGAATCAGCTTCAGCTGCTGCTTGCTGCTGCCTGTTTACTCTGCACCTGCTTGTGCTGCTGAAGATCTCAGGCACAGGCTTCAAAAAAGGGCATCATATAGACCTCTGCCTGATCAGCAGCGTTCAGCGCACGCGGCAGCAGCTCAAACCGCCAACCGAACGGCAGCAGCATGCACACGGTGTGGACGCGGGCCAACACGGTCCTGACCTTCTTCGCAACAGTTCTCTCTGTGTTGTGCGTGGTTGTCACCGTCACAGACGTATTCCATAAGTCCGACCCGCCTATCACAATACAGCTCAAAGAGGTGAGCAGCAGCACTGCTCTGTACAGCCTTCAGCAGCATTTGTTCAATCCACTTGCCAATGACATGAGGAAACCTTATCTCCTGTGCACATCTGAACCTTGAGAAGAAGCTGATTTGAACAGGAATCAACAGTTGCAGTTCTGCCTGGCAGCTGCACCTGTGATTAGCGGTGGCACTGCAGTATTGTGATGTACAGCAGTATGCCTTGATGTACAGCCGTTGTCAGCTGCCCAATTCCCGATTCAGGTTCTCACACGCTCAAACGTGACTGCCAGCTTGTGGATCAATCCTCAATCCACTCATCTGGGCGGTGTTGTTGCGATGACTTGCTCACTTACGCATTGCTGTGGTGTGTTTGCCTGCACCTGTGCTCCTGCCACCGCTGCCGTCATTGCTGCTGCTGCTGCTGCTGCTGCAGGTGAAGCGCCTGGTAACGCACAGGGGCAGGCAGGACCAGGCAGCTCTCTCAATGCAGCTGAATGCAGACCTGCGCAGCGCGTTCAGCTGGAACACCAAGCAGCTGTTTGTGTTTGTACAAGCAGACTACGTGACGCCCGAGAACCGCGTGAACCAGGTCGTGTTGTGGGACAAGATCATAGAACGCAAGGA